GTAAAATAAATAATACATTTATTAATTCTTAATAATTTCTATGCAGTGATATCGTATCGATCGAATTTAAAAGAAAGAGAAAGCGACGAATTGTTGTGTACGGCTCGGTCACTCGTTACGGTCCGCGAACAAGTTGGTCAATGTTCCCTCGACTTGTGATGAAAAAAATGTACATACTGCTACAACTACGGACCTTTCGATAATGTCCTACGATGCTACACTATACTAATCTCCTCCGCGAACGTGGTCGAGAGAATCCCTTTGACAAAAAGCGGGAAACGCGCGGCAACAGGGGGACAAGCCGAGAGAAACTGACAAACAAGCCGCGTATAAATAAATTTGGCAGCGCGCGGACGAAACTTTCGGCCCGTTTCGTTCCGTTTCCCGAAAGTTTCCCGTGCCCGGGAAAACGCTTTCGTTAGTTCGAGAATGCCTTCCTCCGACTAACCGGGCGCAATCCTAGCAATTTGCGTTATTAAAAATTCCACCGTTAATTCCTGGACCGTCTGGCTGGCCGCGTTTCCCGGGATTCTCTTTTCTTTCCTTTTCTTGTTGCTCAGTTTTTTCCCCCCCATCTCCCACTTTTTTTTCAAACTAGGCGGCGAGAGAACTCTTTCAGCGAAGAGGAAACAGCAACGTTTCCCCTCCCACTGGTCTTTTGAACCATCAACCTCCCCTCCAACTCTCCTTTCACGCTTAGAATCGTATCCCGTGATTTAACGGGTAGGTGGAAATTTCTTCGTTACCTGGCAACATCGATTAGGCGATGATGTGCTACAGGACTGCGCCATTCTGGCTTTTTAAATGACCCACACGTTGATTTTTATAAACTTATCGTTATATGCATAAAAGAATTTTAATTGTTTTTCGAAAAGTCCTCTTTTCGAAAAATGTTAAGAAAATTACAAGTGTTCGGTTGGAGTTTAAACGTGAGATATAAATGCATAATTGTGTTTTATGGAGGATTTACGACTTGGTTATGTATACGTATAGGTATTTCAAATCTTAAATGTTGTACGAGTTAGTTGTGTCTAAAAAATTTTATATAGCNGCCTACGATTAAACAGATGTAACAAACACTAAAAAAACACACTAGATCACAGATTCTCAGAATGGGTAGCTTTGCTAGTTTCTTATATAACAAAAGAGAGAACAGACAATAAAAAATATTAAGAAATAAAGTATATATATATATAATGTATAGTGCAGGGGTGACTAGGCGTGATGTCACCCCTTTTATATCAATTTTTCGACGTCGACATTTATTTCTTTGCTCTTCACTTGCAAAAGTAAACGTTGCAAAACAAAAAGGAAACGTAAACTTTTTAGAGGATTATAAAAGTGAGAACCAAAGAAAAGTAGTTTTTAACCATCCTCCTCTCCGCCTTTCCAAGTGACGCCACTGACTTAGTGACTCACGAGCTAGTACTAAAAACAATAATGAACAAAATTTGACCTACTTTTCAAAAGGGTTCGCCGTCATTGTTCTAGGCATTTCTTGTGTACTTTATTTCTACGGACACCCCGTCCTCGAGAAATTGATTTGATTATTTAAGCCGTTTACTTTGAAAGTGAATTTTTAAACAAAAAAAATTGTAACTAATTATATTCAAAAGCACTAAGATTTCGATTACGCAGAAAATTAGCCGGTTGATGGAATGATGAAAATTTTTATTTTTTGAAAATGGCTCAAGTCCCATTTTCAAGAGTTTCAAACTGATACCAAGACGTATTGTGCAGTGAAATTTTATGAGACGAGAGCTACAGTTTTTTAAATGTAAATGAACTTAGGCCACTTTCAAAATAAACAGCTCATTTAATCCGGATCCTCGCTACGATAGTTAGACCTTGGTCCAATCATTTTCTGAATCCGTTACTTCGTTTTGAAACAAAATTGTCCTTCAATTTCCTGGTACAACATTTTGACAAGCATCTAGAATATTTTCTTTAAATAAACTTTAATTCTTCAAACGAGAATCTAACATCAAATTTTTAAGAGATTAACAGTTACATCTTTACCGAATTGCAATAGACTAAGAATGATTCTTCGTTACAATAATTTCTTATTGTATAATTATTCTACTGTCGAATAGAAGAGACTAAAAAAATCTCGTCTCGATGGCCAAAGTGTATTACCACAGACAATTCTGTAATTCAAAATAATTGAAAATTTAGTTATTTCAAAGATCGTTTTCAAGAATGTTTAATAAAAATATAAATCACTCGTGCAGAAGACCATGTATTGGTAATTTTAAAATTTTAGTTCACTACATATTAAAATTATTTAAAATTTTAATTCACTACATAGTAAAAAAAAAAAAAAAAAACAATTATAAATCTGTAAAACACGACTAGAGTAGTCTTTTTGATATACAGTAGAATAATTTCTCACTGCTACCAGCTTCACTTTTCGCTATTTGACAACACTGTGTCAGTTCAGTATTAGTTCCACAACTCGCCGTTATTTAAAGTAGAGCGCGCTAGAGAACCAGTGATCTTTTTACCACGTCGGTATTTCAGGTCACGGGAGTCGGTAAGACGTCGCAATGCCCATTATACGTATTTCACTATTTTACTAACTATCGTAGCGAAAGGAATAAAAATAAAGAGCTCTCTCTCTGGATCTAATCTACTTTATAGCTTCCTCTCGTCCTCTCCATTATATGTACCGAACAATCGTTTGATAACAAAAGAAAAAAAAAAAAAAAAANAAAAAAAAAAAAAAAAAAAGAAAGAAACAAGATTCACAAATCAAAGTGTCTCGAACAAATTTCTCTCTCGCTCGAAGGAACGCTGTGCACCCTAATTCGACGAGAGTTTCACCGACGTCGCCACGACGTTTGCGATTTCAGTTGACGTTCGACAGCTTCACCCTGGGGAAATTCGTGTCGTTCACGGCGGAGGGATGCCCGGACGGTTCGCTGCAGATTTCGGAGGCCCAGCGGCCGGACGTTGGTGGCCTCTGGTGCGGGACGTCCTGGGGGCCGGCGATTTACTACAGCGAGACCCAGACCGTTTCCATCACCCTGAAGCTGCTCAGGCTCAGCAAGGATCAGACGGGATTCAATTTCGACTTCAGGATGGTGTACAAGATGATCAGGAAGTCGGACGCCGTGGCGCGCTACGGGAACCCGTTCGTCGGTACGTAAACGCTTCCTCTCCAGGTGCTCTTAAGATTGTTGATAACATCGCCGCTCCGGATGAGACCAAAATTTCCATAAGCCGGGCACAGTTTCGAAAACAATCGTCGAGAGGAGCCACTCGAGTTTTCGTCGGGATTTTCTTTGTCTCGAGTCTCTTCAGTTGGACTTTGCCTCTCGACAGTCACGAAACGCGCGCCAGTCGAAAGTTCTTTTTTTTTTTAAGAACTTGACGAGCGTCTTCGACACTGAGAGAAGCAATGATTCTATGATTCTGTAGGAGGAGTAATTCTCCAATTTTAAGAACTGGCATATAAATTTATTATCGGTTCGAAGTTTTTCTTTTTTTTTTTTTTTTTTTGGTTAGTTATATGTAATTTCTTGCAAAACACATCGTTGACGATAAGGTGTGATAAGGTGTCCTTTCTCTTTGTAATTTCTTCAGAGTTTTCAGATATATTCTCTGTTGTCATTTCTTCAGAGTTAGATGACAAGTACGAACTTTCGGAACTCGGAAATCTAAAGTAATTAAAGTAAATGTATTTGATAAAGGAATTTCAATATAATTAAATTATCTTAGGAGATCATATTATATTAATTTTAATTGATGGAGAAATTGATCTATGAAAAGATGAAATAAAAAAAAAATAATTCAGAAGTAATAAATATGATTATATAAAATTATATAAATAATTTATTTATGATTATGAAATAATAATTTATTTTTTTTATGATTATATAAAATTATTTATTTTATATAAATTTATTTATATAAAATGTATCCTATAAATGTCCTTTCACGAATAATATCACGAAATTATAAAATTTTAATTGCAATTAAGTTAATAAATATAATTAATAATATAAATATAAATTTAAAATTAATTTATAAAATAATTCTAATTAATAAATTTATTAAGTTTATTGATACAATAATTGGTCATGATCTAATTCCAATTAGAAAGAACGGAACGTTTTTTTCATTTATTATTTTAATTAATTTGATTTATTAAAATGTAATATTGGTAAAATTGAAAAAAACATATGCTTGCATAATTAAAATTTCTGAAATTAACAATATATTTTGAATAATTATAGCAAATGGTAAAATAAAGATTCAATTTATTATAAAACTTCTTAATAAAATTAAAATTTAAATGTCCAGAAATTAAGTTTGATGATAGTCGAATTGACAAAGTTCAAGGTCGAATAATTAATCTAATTAATTCAATAATTACTACAAAACGTATAAGAGATTTAGGAAAATTTAATGGAACTAAATGTTTTAAAAAATTAATTGGCTAATTAAATATTTGATAAATAAAAAAATCTTAATCACAATGATAAAGATATTGATAAATTGAATAGTAAATGTCTTGCTAAAGAAAAAAATATATGGAAATAATCCAAAGAAATTTATAAATATGATAAAAAATGTTAATCTTAAAAAAATTATTATATTAGAAATTAGTTTTCCACGGAGGACTCCTCATTCACTGATTTTACACTTGTTGCCTGAATTTCGAAAGTTTTCAGTTACGAGAGAAAAGTACGAAACATTTCTGATGACACTCTGTAAGAAGAATTTCTTCTTTTCTCAAGAATTGACACTTTTCCATCAGCCATCGAAATACGAGTGAAACAAAATACGTAAATATGAAATCTTGTTGAGAAAACACCAACACAGTCGGCGTGTTTCGAAAGATTTCAAGGTTTTCGAGCAACACCGCTATACGTCGTTGTGCCTCGTAATAACGTTTCGTAGATAGTCGGTGACGGTAATATTATCCGGCAAGATTGCAGCGTCTTTCAAAGAATCCTCGTCCTGCCTCGTCGTACTTGGCTCGTGCATAAACTACTTGCAGGAAGTTTACATAATAGAAGCTCATTTACTCGGGTAGCAACTAAAATTTCGTTCAGGCAAATGGACTCGTACCGTGGTTTACTCGTAGTGGAAATCACGCAAAGAGAGCAAATAATAAAACTTGTCCGTTTGGTAATAATAATACCGACGAACATTGGTCTCAAAAATTCATTTACAATTCGAAATAAATTTCGAGCCCCAGACATTTTCTGATGACGTGACGAAAATTGTGCGAAAAGGGAGAAATAAAATTAGTGAAAGGATGTAGGGAAGAATTGAATAGAAACGAGGGACGATTTCAGGGATAACGCAGGCGACAGGGACGCCAGCGTCGACGGAGACGAGCCTGTCGACGTCCTCGAGCGACTACGCTAACAGCTCGATGGCGATGCCGGTACAGATGGTCGAGCAGCCGTCGATCACGACGAAGCCAAGTGCGGAGCAATACCTCGGGGACCTGATATCCGGCACTTACTGCTCGCGTATATTCAGCGACTGCGACCGGAAGAACTGCAGGCTGCAGTCGCCCAACTTCCCCGGACTGTATCCGCGCAATCTCACCTGCTACTACGCGGTACGTATCCCTTGATTAACCTAACATAAACGTAAACCTAACTTAAACCTAAACCTGACCATCTCTAAACTTCACTTGAACCTAACCTAACCAGCTCTAAATATAACTTACCTAAACTAAATATAACCTAAACCTAAACCTAACCATCTGTAAACCTAACTTAAACCTAAACCTGACCATCTCTAAACCTAACTTAAACCTAAACCCAAACCTAACCAACCTAAACCTGACCATCTCTAAACCTAACTTAAACCTAAACCTAACCAGCTCTAAACCTAACTTAAACCTAAATCTAACCATCTTTAAACCTAACTTAGACCTAAACCCAAACCTAACCAACCTAAATCTAACCATCTCTAAACCTAACTTAAACCTAAACCCAAACCTAACCAACCTAAATCTGACTATCTCTAAACCTAACTTAAACCTAAACCTAACCAGCTTTAAACCTAACTTAAACCTAAACCTAACCATCTCTAAACCTAACTTAAATCTAAATCTAACCAGCTCTAAACCTAACTTAAACCTAAACTTGACTCTAAACCTAATTTAAACCTAAACCTAACTCTAAACCTAACTATCTCTAAACCTAATTTAAACCTAAACCTAACCTAAACACGAATGAACGTGAGCACGAATTTGTTTCAATCACAGACATTTCAATCTTTTTCGCCATGATTTTTTAGTGTCGGACATGAGAAACAATATTTTTTCAGCCGTGATGTGAAAAGATTTCAGCGAAAGATACGTTAGGCAAAATTTTCGGTTTTATTAAAGTAAAAATTACTTACTCGAATTGCTAACTTTTGGCTCTAAATTTCGTATAACTCTCAATTGAGATCTTGAATTTCAAGGTCAATTTTTTTTTTTTTTTTTGCATTGTATTCTACTCGTCACTTTTTCGAGGAACCATAGGTCGCAACCTAATAGTTATTTTGAAAAATGGCAAAAATGTTTCTTAATCGTTTAACACTGCGGACGCGTGAGTCCTAACAACGACTTTATGATTCTGAACTCGTCTATATCACGTAATTTTTTATATTTCGAATAATGTTAACAGTTAGTTTTATCATTCGATTGTTTAGACTCACACTGATGCTACAACTATGATAAACCAAATGTTAAAAATTACGAAAATTACGTAAAATAGACATAATCATAAAGTCGCTGTTAGCACTCATCCGCAATGTAATCTTTTACCATTTTTCAAAAGAACTGTTTGCCAATGTTTTTGAAAAAATTTTACGTTAATCTCGTAATGAAATAGAATACAATGCAAGAAAAAAAAATTCGAAAATTTTGAAAATTCAAGGTTAAGGTTAACTTTGCGGCAGGTTTTTTCTTACATGCATTTCCATCAAACCGAAGATGTAGAATTCATCTGCGACAGCCACGGACAAACTTTTCCGTCCACCGTTAGTAAAGTTCTAGAAAAATCCTTCTTCTCCAATCCTTGACGTCCGTCATATCCACTTTGTCTCGAACGACACTTTGAAAATCATTTGTGCGAAATCCAGAACGCTCGCTCCTCGTTACTTACTCTGTCTGACAGAACTCGAATACAGGATCATAAATTGTCAGACGCGCGCGCGGTCCGTGACGACGATTCCAGCGACTGGCTTTCTTAGCGAGTTACTTGAAAATTTATGCATCTGTCCGGAGGAAGAATGAAGTCTCGAGCAGCGGGACGCAGCTTCTGGCTTTTTCGCTGTTAACGGATATCCGAGAGTCTGTTGATAAAATATTTTGTTGGATGGATGTCTAAAAGCCTATCCTTGAGAATTTTTCGTAAATGTGATATTGAAACTGTTATCGATCGTAAAAAAAAAGAGAAAAAAATTAAATTAAATTAAAAGTGATAGAGAAAAAGCATCTGTTATGCAAACTCATATTCGAAGTATAGTAGATTGATACAGAACACATAAATGAAAAATTATTTTTAAACAAATCCAAATGGATCGCTAAACGATTGTATATATATATATAAAATTACATCAACTGAAACTATCGCCAATTGTTTTCATCGTCTTCGCTTTAAATTATCGACGTACAATCGTGCTCCTCTCTGGAAACACCGCAAAAAAAAACATATCAATAAAAAAAAAAAAAATGTCTCAAACAATTGAAATCTCCACGGTGCACTGACGAATATCGACAGAGCTGTTTCGTGCCGCGTGAAAAAAGTGGTGGGGGGTGGCGTCCCGCTGGAACGTTCACGTGACACGCGCAACGTGGTGGGGGAAATCGGAGAAGCGCAACGTGGTGGGGGTAATCGGTGAAGCGGCACGCCACCGCAAAATCGCGCGACGGGCCCGCACAAGAATTCGCTTTCGGAACTCGAAGGGACCAACGCTGGCATTCCGACGAGAATTTACGGGGTGTGCAGTGTACAACCCGGGGGCTATTATTCTCCGTTCGGCCGCCAAAGTCGACTCTCGACCGTTAAATACACCTCGATGCGACCGGTGGAATTTTGCCCGGTCGTTTCCGGAAGTTGCGCCGCAGTTTCCATTCCCACTTCGAGGCGAGAAAGTCACGAGAAAGTCGCATCGGAAAAAAAAAGTGGTAAATGGAGAGATGACGTGGCTGATCAAATCTTTCGATACGGCTTCGTCTTTGGCGACTATGCCACCGTTGAACAGACAATTCAATTTAATTTAGTTTAATTAAAGACGCAAACGTCGCTTTCTCACCAGATAAGGAGCGTAACATTTAAATTTTGCCGCGCTTTTTCGCGATGTAACGAGTTGGTAGAAAGAAATCGACTTTATGACACTTTTCACGCATTTCATAGTAATAATATATAGTAATTTAAATATATAATAATTTATACAATATATAACATATAGTAATTTAAATAAATAATATATAGTAATTTAAAGTTGTTCGATGATGTGATTTTGTGCACTGTTTCATGTAATAATAATTTTCCGAATGAAACGTTTCAAAAGGGAAACAGACACGAACCTAACCTAACCTAAATCTGACCCATGTAAGTTTAACACCTGTACATGGTAGGTTAAAATCTACTCGCAAATTTTACAACACTTTCATTTCACTTTCATTTGTTGTCTATCAATTTTTGGAACAAACAACGCAGTTTCTCGCTGCGTTTTCTTTTTTTTTTTTTTTTTTAATTTTTATTATTACTACTACCGGCACAGATTGAAAGGAAATGGAACGTATTCCATTGCCCGTTTAATTTTATGACACAGGTGAGACAGCACGACGTGCCGCCGGGGAAACACGCCTTAATTTCGGTGAGACAGCCCCGAGGTCAACTGGTGGCGATAAGGGCGAGGCCAGCCACCCAGGCGGAATCGTCGCCGCGCGAGCTTCGCCTCTGGAAAGATTGCGACGTGGTTCAGGTACGTATCAGAACCCGGAACGTCGGAATATCCCGCGAATCGAGACAAATTCGAGGTTATCGGACGCTGTGAGTTAAAAGAAGCTAGCCAAAAATACTTTTGTCGTGAATGAATCTCTAATGTACAAATACTAAAAAATTATTTTATATATATATATATAATAGTAGCATAATAATAGTAATATAAAATTATTATTAGTAGCACATATAATAGTAGTAATATAAAATTATTATATATATATAATATATTAATTATATATATATATAATAATTTTATATTACTAATAATAATTATTATATATATAATAATTTTATGTTACTACTATTATATATGCTACTAATAATAATTTTATATTACTATTATTATGCTACTATTATATATATATATATATATATATATATAGTAGCATATATAATAATTTTATATTACTACTATTATATATGCTACTAATAATAATTGTATATTACTACTATTATGCTACTATTATATATATTAAAATTTTTAAATATTATATATATTAAAAAATATATATTAAAATTATTATATATATATATAATAGTAGCACAATAATAGTAATATAAAATTATTATATATAATAGTATAATTATTATTTATATAATAGCGTATATTCTACATATTATATTATTATATATAATACTATAAAAATTGACTTGTGGCCAACTTATGGTCAAATTCGACCCACGCTTGTGCGCGTGGCGTCGAACAGGTCGTTACGGCAATTCCGGCCGGTGTGCTTCTTAGATCACGGAACCATTTGCCGAATTTATCGATCCGCAGAGGAGAGTAACTAAATTCGAGTCTCGGGGACGAAGGCAGAGCGCCGTGTGCTCCAAGTTGATAAGCGGAATTTATTGGCAGGCTATAGCGCCGGGCAAGATAAGGAAGATAATGCCCGAGGATCCTGGCGAGTGCCTCTCAAACGGCTATCGAAAGTTTACGAACGTACATACGTATGTACGTGTGTTAAATCGACTCGATCGAGAATGATTACTACCCTTAGTTCTGAAATCTACAGTAACCGCGAAAAGTATTTCTGCAAGTTTTCCAAATCGTTTGTCGTCAGTTTTCGGTAGTTTTTAGAGGTTATGTATTACAGAGGTTATGCTTTGACATCGATTTTCCGAAATGTTCTTTGTTTTTGCGATTCCATTGGCACGCTGTAGAAAATAATAAACCTGGAGTTTCCGTTGGTTTGTTACATTTAATGATAACAAATAGCTGAAATACTTTAAAAGGCGTATCGTTTCCCAAATCGGTTCTTTTATCGTCAGATTTTGTTCACTCAAGAGGTTATGTATCACTGACATCGATTTTTCAGTGTCTGACTTTTCAAGATATTCTTCGCTAGGAAAAACGAGTGGAAATGAAATAAAGTACAAAAATAATATATAATATTATGAAACTAAATGTAATAAATTCATTTCTGCGATGAAATATTACGAAATATTACAAAAATAAAATATAGAAACAAAAGAATGACACGCAGAGACAAAATGTAAAAATAAACAGTAGACAAAAATGAGAAATAGAAGTGAAAATGAAAATTAAAAAGGGGAACGTCGATTCGTGCCCGCAGGACTACGTGACGGTGTACGACGGGTACACGACCCGGGACCCGGTGATCCTGAAATTCTGTGGTGGCGGGGAGCCGGTGCCGGAAGCGACCAGCAGCGGGACCGAGATCCTGGTCGAGTTCACCACGTCTCCTTACGGCACGTTCCTTCATCCTACGCCGCCACACTCGCTCCACGGCTTTCAATTAGAAGTGCAAGTACGTGGTAATTCTGTTCAAACATTCACGGGGCCGGAACAGCGTGCTTTACACCTGACGGTGGCGAACTACCGCCCCTGCCCCGCCCCTCTCCCCTCTTCCTGCTTGGCTCACGAGGATCGCATTTAAATGGATAGCCGGAACAGCCACCGTTCTACCACAATTTTCTACGGGAACGGCGAGCCAACGAGGGATAATGAATTTTAGAGACGGGTTTCTTCCTGTTCTTTCTCTCCCTTTGCGTTTTAATTTCTTTCTTTCGCCAACGAAAGGGGTTAAGCGACGTTGACGTCGACGAATCTCTTCTGGCGCTGGGTAACGAATTTTGGAACGCGCGTCGTTTCAATGTCCACCACCAACTTTATCATTGTGTTCGCCATTTACAATTTTTACCATCAATCGTATCGTTGTAATTTTTTAAAACAAAATTACAAAGTTAATTTCGATGTTTAATTGTGGGATTGGTAAACCTAACCTAACCTAAAGCATGATCTTGTCTCCTACAGCCCTCCTCCCCCAATTAATTTCGATGTTTAATGTGGGATTAGTAAACCTAACCTAACCTAAAGCATGATCTTGTTTCCTACAAACCCTTCCTCCCCCCCAAAATTAATTTCGATGTTTAATGTGGGATTGGTAAACCTAACCTAACCTAAAGCATGATCTTGTCTCCTACAACCCCCTCCCCAAAATTAATTTCGAAGTTTAATGTGGGATTGGTAAACCTAACCTAACCTAAAGCATAATCTTGTCTCCTACAACCCCCCCCCCAAAATTAATTTCAATGTTTAATGTGGAATTGGTAAACCTAACCTAACCTAAAGCATGATCTTGTCTCTTACAAGATCCCCCCCCTCCTCTCCCCCAATTAACAGAAAGATAAAAAAAGACGTAAAATTCCACTTGCAGGTGAAATTCGTGGACGCGGACTCGCCGACGTACGCGAAGAACAAGCACTGCGAGTTCTGGCTACAGGGCAGCGGTGGCGGAGTGTTGGCATCGCCGCGTCATTCCCTGCCGCGGAACAGCACGTGCCTGTACCATCTACGAGGCGCAGGGCCAGCTTTACCGAGTCCGACACCGCCGCGCCCTCTGCCCAAATTCCCGGAACAACGACCGGGGACCGTATGGAGGAGACCAGCGCCACGACCGCCGCAGCCGCAGTTCCGCGTCTGGCTGTCGATCCTGAAGTTTCACGTGGGCACCAGCTTGTCGAGCGGCGACGAGGACTGCTCCACCACGTTGATGGTCTGGGACGGCGAGATGATGCCGCTTTCCGAGTGCTACGATCTTGCCTGGTCGGTTGAACTCTCTCTCTCTATCTTTGATTAATACGCTTCGTTAGAGTTAGCGAGTTCTCGGCCAACGACGAGGTTAGGTTAGCTTGCCACTTTTCGAGCAACTCGATCCTCCGGTCATTCTCTTGTTTCGTTGGAACTTTAGACGAGGGGGCTCGTGCGTTCTTCGAGTTGGACAGTGACCGAATACTTGTCTCATAGAAGATCAAATTCTTACGAGTGCACGCGGATGATTCAGACAGTTCATTTTACAATTTAGATAGTTCGTTGTACAAATCTAAGTAATTTGTTAGAATTTAGATAATTCGTTGTAATTTAGATAACTCGTTCTTTAGAACTCATATGGTCACAGGCATGTACTGTCGTGTTGATTTCGTTTTGCACGTCGAGAATTTCGGTCACTCGTTATGGTCCGCAATCAGTTGCCAGCGTATCTGGTTTGACAAAACGACTTTAGGAAAAATATTTTTCCAATGTCTTAGGAGAGTTCAAGTTTGTAATATTATCAGAAAAAAACAGTGTCTTTCCCATACAATATAAAAACACTTTTGTGAAAATTTGCGAGATGAAATGATCGTGAAGGTAGATAGCTTTAAACTCAGTCTGGATCCACTGTTTTCACCAGTTCAAACATACACATCATAATCAAATCAAATACACTCGAGTTCCAAATCAAGTACATCAGTGGTTATTGCCGCTTGAACTTTCGTCGTTCATGCTTGTCAGATTTATAGGGATGTTAACCCGTCGGTTCGCCAAAAATGATTGAATAAATTGTTACAAGTACAAACAACTCTTACAACACAGCCAAGTCCTGCATTAAAGTTTCGAACACCGGTTGATTTAGCGACGTAGAAAACTTCTCGCAGCATCCTGGTTTCGGTGATGCCAGAATGTATTCCCCGCAACTCTGAACCGAAAGTTTCGAGCCCTTATTTTCTCAGATTCCCCTGGCTGCTCCCGTCAAAAGGCACAGAATCTACGTCGTATTTCTTCTCCACGGGGAAGAAGGATCGCCGAGTTCCTCCCCCCTCCTTCTGGCTAAAATTCGCGAACTCTAGCGGCGGCCAGGGAAATCTGTGCTACTTCGACGCAGATCTAGACGACCGACGGTCGAACCGCGCGTGTTTGTTTCTGTTTAGTTGAGTTTGCTTTCTTGTTGCGGGACGCTGCTGGATCTTCTTGCTGTTTGGTTTCGTTTTACACAATGCGGGAGTTTCGGTTGTGTACAGAGGTTTCCGGTGGCTCGTACTACGGTTCAGAAATTTCTCCGGAGAAGATTCGGATGATTTATAAACGACAGTTTGTCGTCGGTAATCGGAGAGTTTCGAAATTAGGGACCATAAGTATCACACTCAAATGTAATGTGCGTATTTCTTATATTCACATACTTAGAAACAGCAGAACTCTGCCATAATCAGCTACAGACTTTGGGAATTATATTCAACTAAACGTTTCGCCTGTTCACAAAAATTAGGGGGTATTTTCAAATTAATATGAAGCGATGAGAAAAATAAGCTGCCGATTTTTTTTATTAAACAAGAACAACTTGTCGTTTGCTTTTCCGGTGTTCTTGTTCAATAAAAAAGAAAAGAAATCAAATCCTTTCATATTCATTTCGAAATATCCCCTAATTTCTATGAGCAGTATATTAAACAATCATCCATCTCTGACGATATATAAATTACAACAAATAATAATTTTAATTATTAATTATATTTCATTGGTATCAATAGTAATATTAAAAGTTGCTTCTTTAACGAGAAATTTTAACACGTGGAATTAAACGTTCGAATCTCCCGAACCTTTAATCTTAAATCTTTGAAACAGCGAGAAGGAGCATCAACGCCACGGTGACAGATCGGCCGAGCCGGCGCACCCTCAGGCAGCCCGTCCCGCCGGGAACACCACCCTCTTGGCCCGCTACTGCAAGGACAAGGTGCCGAGGACCTGCGACCACGCGATCCTCCAAAACACCAGCCGTCCCTGCTCGCTCGGCGAGAGCTTCGTGTCAAGCGGAAGCAGCCTGACCATCGAGATGCGGATGGTCGAGTCGACGGCTCTCAGGCGAGTGTAACTCGTTTGCTAGAGGGGCGGAGAGAGCGAAACGGCGGGTGGAGGGGGCAACGCACGAAACGGTGTAGGAAATGGGTGGGGGGAGAACGTTTTCCGTTTCAGTTACATCGGCCGCGTGCCGTTTTGTTCGCCGTTGTTTCCACGTGGGCGCTATTGATCGACACGGCCGCGCCGTATTATGTTTTCTCTCGGGCGGCGGTGTAAAGAGATTTTTCACGGCTACGAGGGCCGAAATCTCCGCGGGAAAGCTTTCACTGGCCTCTGTCGGTGAATGTTTCGGAAAATCATCGAATGCCATCGCATCTTCTTCGGGTATCCGCTGTTGCATCTAACATTACTTTAGTAATTGATATTAGATTTAGATTTTTAGAATTAATATTAATCCAATTATAATATATTGTTAATATTAATAATGATATGTTAATATCATGTAATTGCAATATATTAATTAGAATTAATATAAATCTAAATTGGAATTACAAACGATGCAAACGATAATACGACTATTATAAACTAACCACAATAATAACTACCGTTATAATGATCTCATTATCAACATAATAGCAATAACGACTATAACAATTCAATTGATCAAATAACTAACTCTACAATTCTATCGAATTACAAATGATGATGTAACACGACTATTACAAATTAACTACAATAATAATCTCATCGTCAATATAATAATAATAATAATAATAATAATAATAATAATAATAATAATAACAACAACTGTACAATAATTTAGATTGCAAGCGAGACGATAACGATATAGAGATAAAGTAAAGTGTCGCTAAAAACGACAGAGCGAGATCACTGGGAATGATTAACGAGCAGCTTGTCCGGATATTCGTTCGCGACGAGGCGGAATGAAAAAAATTTTATTTCGGCGGAGGGTGGAAGTAAAGTGCCCGTGTTTTTAACCCTTCAACGCCTATAAAGCGTCGAGCGTTCGCGTCTTCTTTCGGTGAAAAGTTTCGAATCAAAAGGAACGACATTTTCCGTGGAAGAGGCGAATTAACGTCGAATCCACGAAACGAAGATCGAGCACGAAGATTGAATACTTGTATACTTCTTTCGCGTAGATCGTAGGGCTTCCTCCAGGAATCAGAGCACCGTGCTTCCGGTGTTTCGAGCTACCTTTTTCTCTCTCTCTGTCTCTCTGTCTGCTCGTTCAAGGGAGTGGAAAACTTTGAATATAAATTCAGGCGAAATTCGCTCGTGACACCGAGCTCGCGGAATCGATACAGAACGTTACACGCGAGGAATGCGGAGGTTTTATGGCGACGCAGCGCAATATCTGCCGCACTTGCACGTTTTCGCTCCTTCTCCCGACCGTACCCCCCCCCCTCCTCCTCCTCTACCCTCCCACTCTCTTCCGGTTCCGCGCCTCGGCTCTCGCCCCATATCAGTTATTTATAAGAAGCGATTTTTCCTTGCGCGTCGACTGCTCCGCTCCGAGTCACGAAAGCCTCTCAAATTCCATAGAGTCGAGCTTTTAGAAATTTCTAGAGAATTTCTCGAGCAGTTGCCTCCCCCCTCCTTTCGCAAATCTTCCTTTCACATTTATGTGTCAATCTTTTTTTTCTTTAATTAATTTAAAATTTAATTTTTTAATTATTAATTTAATTATTTATTTATTTCATTTTATTCTACTCTATTCTATTTTATTGTATTTTATTCTATTTTACTGTACTTTATTCTATATTATTCTGTTTTATTGTATTTTATTCTATTTTATTGCATTTTATTCTATTTTATTATTTATTTATTTGTTTATTTAATTTAATTATTTATTTACTTCATTTTATTTTATTCTATTCTATTTTATTGCATTTTATTGTATTTTATTCTATATTATTCTATTTTATTGTAATTTATCCTATTTTATTCTGTTTTATTGTATTTTATTGTATTTTATTCTATTTTATTGTATTTTATTCTATTTTATTCTGTTTTATTGTATTTTATTGTATTTTATTGTATTTTATTCTGTTTTATTTTATTTTATTCCATTTTATTCTGTTTTATTTTATTTTCGACATAAATCTCTATCGTTATATAATTACAATGCAAATAGAATTAACAGAAATAAAGTAACTAAATTGAAACAAAGAGACTATAGCAGAGTGATGGTATCGATAGCAAATTTTTCCTTCTTCCTTAATAGAGATTCTACGTGAAGAAAAAAGCAAAACTCAAGAGGAGAAGGAATAACATCTTTTTCGTTAAAAAATTCGGTTTATTTTTTTTTTTTTTTTTTTAGAGAAACCGAACTTAAATTATTTGTACATTGAAAACTAATTATTATAATATTATCTTGAACTTTGGCACTTCTGTTATGCTGTGATTTGTCATGTGGCTACGTTTCGGCGAAAATTTACTAATATACGAATTCTATTTCTAATTCCAGACATGACAGAGAAGAATAATCGCCAAGAGTTCTCTTTGGCTACTTTCTTTAAAACTCCATTATCTTAGACTTTATTCCAGACCTTTTTCATTCCAGTCGACTGCTCGACCACTCGTGTACATACACGTCGAACGTAACAACGATGAACCTAGAACGACAGAAAGAGGAACATTTTCTGACTTCCTGGAGGAGAAAGGGCAACCTTCACCGCGATCCAGCCGAGTCCTTCTCCCTTTCACGATCCTTGGAAATCCCCTTTCCTCGGCCAGAGTTTCAATTAAATCGAGCTGCTCGCCGGGTAAAAAGGAAAAAACACCTCGTACGCGAGCGGTCGCTCATCTTTTAATTGGCCGCGCAAGGGGGGCGTCGTCGATCGAGAAATTGCCCCGTTTAGCAGCGGGGTTGATAAAGCCAGAGGAGGGGGGAGGGTGTGAAGGTGGTTCGTTTCATGCGGAAAGGATTAACTAGACCGTGCGACGCATCCGCGTTCCACGCGCGGTGTGTCGGGCTTCCAGTGAAAAATAAAATGTAAATAACCCCCTTTTGCAACCCCCCCTCCTGCTGAGGGGGGGATAATTACCCTCTATCGTATCGTATCGAACGTTGACGCCCCGTTACGCGTGTCGATGAATATTCCTGTATTTTTTTTATCGCGCGCCGATACTTTCTTGTTTCCGGTATAAATATATTATCTTACGTATCGTATGTATAATTTAATGTATGTACGACGTACAATTTTGTACGCAATATTGTTTCCGGAGCAACCCGACGTTTTCAAAATTTTATTAGAAACTTTTATACTATAATAACGTTAATTCTAATAGACCATACTATACTATTGTATAGTATAATACTAATACTATACTATACTGATAGTATACTGACACCAATATTGACACTACTGTACTATACTATTATATTAGTGATAGTATACTGTACTATTATACTATTAGTATTAGTATACTATACTATACTATACTAATACTATACTAACACTAATATTAATCCTACTATACTACGCTAATACTATACTAACACTAATACTAATCCTACTATATTACACTAATACTGTACTAACACAAATATTAATTCTACTCTACTACACTAATACTATACTAACACTAATATTGATCCGACTATACTATACTAACACTAATATTAATCCTACTATATTATGCTAACACTAATATTAATCCTACTATACTATGCTAATACTATACTAACACTAATATTCATCCCACTGTATTATACTAATACTATACTAACACTAATATTAATCCTACTATACTACGCTAATACTATACTAACACTAATACTAATCCTACTATATTACACTAATACTATACTAACACAAATATTAATTCTACTCTACTACACTAATACTATACTAACACTAATATTGATCCGACTATACTATACTAACACTAATATTAATCCGACTACACTATACTAACACTAATATTAATCCTACTATACTATGCTAACACTAATATTAATCCTACTATACTATGCTAATACTATACTAACACTAATATTCATCCCACTGTATTATACTAATACTATACTAACATTAATATTAATCCTACTATACTATACTAATATTATTATATTATATTAGTATTAGTATACCACACTAATACTAATACTAATAATATTATACTAATACATAGTATAGTATAACATTATAATTATTATAATATTATGCTATATTATAATATTATAAATATTATTAAAATATTACAACAGTAATGTAATACTATAAATATTACATTAATGTTATCGAAATTTAAATAGAAATATTATATATATATATATTTAATATTATTGCTACTCCGTCGTAGTGTATGAGAAAAAAAAAGGTGCCAAAATTTAACCCTACCAGCACATTAATTTAACTCGTTAATTCAACGAACAGACAATTTCAGTGAAATACGCAGACTGAAATATATATTTCTCTGGATCCCGCAGGCCGGTGAATTTTCGTGCGCTGTACGAGTTCGTGGATCTCCACCAGGACGGCGATCCTTACGGAAGCGGACCGTGCTCGAGGATATTCTACAGCCGGAATCGGGATCATTATCCCGATCGTAGATTCCAGGCGCCGCGCGACATTTTCCTTTACGGCCGCGGCGGCGCGAAAAATATCAGGTGAGCCCATTTTCCCGCCATTTATTGCTATCTACTGTTCGGGACGCTTTCTCGATACCACGTCCTTGAGTGAATGCCCCTAACGCTACAGCTACCAAAATGGTCGAAATGGACCAATAATGAAATAGTAATTTTTGCTAGATACTTTATGAATAAGAAACAGCGTATTTTTGATTTTTCCACGAATAAAATATAGAAATGAACACTATATTGTGCTATAAAGATTCTCCGTTTCCTTCCGTATATTAAGTTTTATATTATTAAATATTAGTATTAGTATTATAATTATAAATATAATATTTTAATAATATTCATACTAATACCAATATATTAATTATATTAAGTTTATTATATTAATTTATATTTAGTTTAATTTATAAACGGGGGAAATACTTTCTTGTACGAAAAGGGAAAAAGTGAAGGAAGAGAGAGGAGCAAGAATAAGCGTCAAGGTGAAAATTATAGACAGTGAGTAAGATGAATATAGTGGTACAGGGAGATAGAAATATTATAAATATTAGTAGTATAACTATAGAATTATAAATATTACAAATATTACAAACTATTAATAGTATTATAATTCATAATACTATTATAATATATATTGTAATACTGTAGTTATACAATACTATTATAGTATATAATATTATATAATAATACTACAAACTATAGTATTATAGTATTATAGTTTGTAGTAATACTGTAGTTATACAATACTATTATAGTATATAATATTATATAATAATATTACAAATATTACAAACTATTAATAGTATTATAATTCATAATACTATTATAATATATATTGTAATACTGTATAATAGTATACAATACTATTATAGTATATAATATTATATAATAATACTATTATAATACCATTATACATTATGTATAATATAATAGTATTATAAATTAGTATAATAAATAATTATATAATAATATTATAAATATTATAAATACAGCAGTTAGAAATAGACAGAAATATTAGAACTAGACTGAAACAATGAATACGTGCAGTAAATACGGCAAATTTGCGACTATTCTGAAAAATTTGTTCTAGCAGGTATCTCTTTAAAATAATCAACTGTCTGGAGTTAACGATATTCGCGGATTTGACGAGAGATAAGAGAAGAGATAAAGAAGTTCCGAAGTAAGTTTCATCTCGTAAGGATGAATAAAAGGAGCAAGAGATTTCAAGCAGCGATCTGTTCATTTAAAGCCCATTTAAAGAGGAAAATGGCGGGGCGACCTACCGTGTGGATAAACTCTTTCTCTTCCCGTCGGCCGCATCCAGCTCGAACTGGGATGCGCCTTTTACGCGCAAACGATTCCGCGATTTCGAATGAGATGCGCGTCAGCAGAGCTCTCGCCCCTTTGTTCCACCAGGCAAAAAGCGATGACCGGCCGTAAATAGTCCCTTTGTGCACCACGACGAAAGTGTGCAAGCGCGCTTTTTTTCTTCTTTTTTTTTTTCTCCATTTTTCCCCACCCTCTTTTACCTTTTCTCTTCTCCTTTTTCAAAGTTTCCCGCTCCTCCTCCTCTCGTCAAGTTCCTCGACCTCCTTCGAGATCGAGGATAGAAAAAAAAATGAGGAGAAAGAAAGAAAGAGGAAGAGGAAGAAGAGTGTTCTTTTCTTGGAAGGCCTTCGAGAGTGTCGATAGGTCGATATATATCATAGGGGCACGCAATTTTAACCTCTTGCGCTGGAATGACGTGCCACGCACGTCGAGAATTTTTTGTCTCAAATTACAACATTTTCACAGTTTTAAGTATATTTAAATGTAACCTAGACAAAACGAATGACAAGTTCATTGCTTCTTAATAATTTCTACCCAGTGATATAATACCGACGAGTTCAAAAGAAAAAGAAAACGATAAATTATTGTATACACGGTTCGGTCACTCGTTACGGTCCGCAATCAATTGCCAGCGCAAGTGGTTAACCTCTTACGTGGAGAATTTTTTGTCANCAAAATTGCAATATTTTCTCAGTTTTAAGTATATTTAAGTAAAACAAAATAGGCACAACAAATAATAGATTTATTGCTTCTCAATAATTTCTATCCAGTGATATCATACCGACGAGTTCGAAAAGAAAGGGACGAATCATTGTATACGGTTTGGTCACTCGTTACGGTCCACAATCAGTTGCCAGCGCAAGTGATTAAAGAAGAAAAACTCTACCGTATACTATAAACTATACTGTACTCTACTATAAATGATACCACCATGCAACGTTTGAAATGAAATTCATTGAAACACATCTTTACGTGGGGTAAAAAATATCTCACGGTGCGTCAACTGTCAAAAAAAAATATGGGACAACTTTGAACTCACCTAACCTCAAATTTCTTCTCTCGCGTATTTTTTCATTCCTTCGTTTTGGGGAACCGCAATATTGCACGAGGTATAAAGTGTAAGCGTGATTGTAAGCGTTCTTTGAAGCTTCTTCCTTGCTGCGAATTCATGAATTCTCTCTTTCTTTCTCTGACGCAGTCACACGATCAGAACTACACCGCCTTGGAAAGTCTTGGAAATGGTTGCTACCCGTTGATAAACGCCGGCCGATTTTTCACGTCGATCGTCGCCCGCGTCCCTGTTTGCTGTTCAAACAGAAACTCCGGCTGGACGCCGTTTCACGCGCTCGTTTACTTTGTTCGCAATTGTAATTACGCGACACGCCGACTGCCCATAGGGACACAGCGACACAGCGACACAGCGAAACTACCTACCGGAGCGCCACCGTCAGCCACTGAAATTACGAAATTTCATATTTGCTTTGGATATTTGACTATCGGTGTCTCTTCTCTCTTCGGCGGCGCTGTCGCTGAAAATCGAAATGCAAAATCTCTAACACGAGTATCCGGCGAGCAAATCAATTTTCCCTCGTGAGATAAAATTTCAAAATTCCTAATGTTAATTTACGGACTGTTTGTTAAAAGACGTGAATCACTCGCGCTGGCAACTGATTGCGGAACACATAACGAGTGACCGAACCGTATACAGTAATTCGTTGCTTTCTTTTTGAACTCGTCGGCATATTATCACTGTAGATAGATAGAAATTATTACGAAATAATAAATTTATTACTTGTTTTGCCTAGGTTATACTTAAATATAATATACTTAATATACTTAAGACTGAGAAAATGTTGCAATTTGGGACAAAAAATTCTCGACGTGCGTGGCACGTAATTCCAGCGTAAGAGGTTAACCACTAATTGCGGACCATAACGAGTGACCAAACCGTATACAATAATTCGACGCTTTCTTTTTGTTTTGAATTCGGTTGGTACGATGTCGCTGGATAGAAATTATTAAGAAGTAACAAATTTATCATTTGTTTTGCCTGGGTTATACTTAAATATCCTTAAAACTGAGAAAATGTTGCAACTTTNGGGACAAAAAATTCTCGACGTGCGTGGCACGTCATTCCAGTGTAAGAGGTTAACCACTAATTGCGGACCATAACGAGTGACCGAACCGTATACAATAATTCGTCGCTTTCTTTTTCTTTTGAACTCGGTCGGTACGATAATCGCTGGATAGAAATTATTAAGAAGTAACAAATTTATCATTTGTTTTGCCTGGGTTATACTTAAATATGGTTAAAACTGAGAAAATGTTGCAACTTCGGGACAAAACATTCTCGACCTGTGTCGTTCCTTCACCATCACTACTTTACACGAATTGAAATTCACTTTTTTTCTATAAATAAAATCTCTAAGAATATGTTTCTTTAAACGAAAAAAAAATCGGCGAAACGTCTAGATATAACGCTCGGTAAAAGGGTTCACTCAGGGAAGTTTGCAATCACGGTGGAAACCGGCTAATCGATCAACGAAGGAGAAACGTCGTTGACCGGTCAGTTTCCTGCTTGTAATCTCCTCCTGGTGGCGTGGTATCGATCGGGAAAGCGATTCCTTTGCGTGGCCGACCGGCCATGTAAATTCGATTAAGTGACGCGAGTGCAGGCTGCAACGGATTTTCCAGCTGCGTGTATAGATTCGAGGGCGAGCACGACGAGATCGTGCGGCTGCGGTTCAACAAGCTGTTAAACGGAAACCGGACGTGCCGCAGCGTCTCCAGCAGGGACTTTAATCGGCAGCTCTGTGTCGGGTCGGAGAATTTCTCCGTGAAGGTGAGTCGTTGTAATTCCTTGGAAATTCCCCCCAGCAGTAAATAAATTAGTTTACGGCTCCTTTTGTCTAACGAGGTATTTCGTTTGAAAATTTATTACCTTATTACTAACACAGGGTGTTATGGTACAACCATAAGGAAGAGACGATACTGCGTGAAAAAATAGAAAATAATGAGTGAAACTTTTCTTCATTCGGGGCTCCTTTTTTTTTCTCTTGTCTTTTTTTGCAGTTAACATCCCCGATATAATACGAATCGTGTAATTTCGAAATTTCTCCCGTCTTTTTTGTAATTATCCTCGATAATTACAATACAAATCATACAATTTACAGAAACGCTTTTATCGCGCTTTTAATTCCCCTTACCCATTCACCCGTACGTAATTTGTTTACTCGTTTGATATCTTTGCTCTTTGTACGGTCACTGATATCACCCTGAAGCGTTTTGCATTCTTACTGCCTCTCCCCCCCCCCCCGCGTGTAATAACGCGCCAGAGTCGCGTGTTCCAATTAATCTTTGAACGAACTTTGAATAGGCATTGCTCCATTTTATATTTGCACGGCACGAGAGCGCTAGAGGGGCCATTCATCTTTCGTGAATACAGTTGTTAACCCCGGCGAACAACTGTGTACGGCCCGGAACGAACGAAGGTTGCAACTCGCTGTTGTTCGGATAATCGCAGTCGCAGTTCTCTCCCGGAGGGGGGGGAACAAATAACGCTTAGAGATCGAAAATTCGCAGTTTGAACTGATTGTGAGGTCGCAGTAAATTCGCAGTAAACACGTCTCGAAAGTAATCGATGGTACGAAAGCGTTTGAACAGTATAAGTTTTCCGATGTTCGAAAAATTCCCCGATATTTGAACTTGTATTTTTGAAAAAAAAAGAAAAAGAATAATGCAGCAGATACTATAGTAATATATTATATAGTAAGTTACTACATTACTATATTATTGCTATATTTTACTATATATTACTACATATTACTATATTATTGCTATATTTTACTATATATTACTATATATTACCACATTACTATATTATTGCTATATTTTACTATATATTACTATAGTTATAGTAATATACTGTTTACTATATTACTATATATTAATATATAAATATATTACTATGTTTTATTATATATACTATATATATATTTATAGTAATATATTATTTTCTATATTACTGTATTTATATAGTACTATATATTACTAACTATATATTACTATATGTTACTATATATATATTTATAGTAATATACTATTTTCTATATTACTGTATTTATATAGTGCTATATATTACTATATATATATATATATTTATTTATTTATTTATTTATAGTAATATACCATTTTCTATATTACTGTATTTATATACTACTATATATAACTATAATTAAATATATTACTATATATTACTATTAGTATATATATATTTATTTATTACTATACATATATATATATATATATATATATATATATTTATAGTAATATAGTGTTTTTATAGTAATATACAATTTTCTTATTAGTATTAGTATTTATATACTACTATATACTACTATATATTACTTATTAATATTAGTATTTATATACTACTATGTTTTAGTATTTATATATTACTAGGTTTTAATATATAGTACTATAACTAAATATATTACTATTACTATATATATATATATATATATATATATATATATATTTATAGTAATATAGTATATTTATAGTAATGTACCACTTTCTATAGTACTCTATTTTTTACTATAGTAATATATTACACAGTAATTTATAGTATCTTCAGGAAAAGCATAGTAAAAGCATTTTGGAATAAAACGACGGGAAAGTGAAGGCCTCGTGATTGAAAACGGGCCCAGATTTATTATCGTTTTAAACTTCTCGCGAGCACGCTTTCGCGAGCCGGCGCGAATGAATCAGCCGAGATTACCGATCGAATAATTCACCGAACGGTTTAACGAATGCCCAAAGGCGCTAATAATTCAGTCGGGGGGTCGCGCCAGCCATTGAGCAACGATTTTAATTTAAAGTTGACCTGTCGCGATCGGAGGGATCTCTCTCTCTCTCTCTCTCTCTCTCTCTCTCGATCGAGATTGGCCGTTGGCGATCGCCAAACTCGCAGAACCCGGTGGGAGGGTCGCAATTAACGGGGCCGCGTTTTCATTAAAACTTCTGCCGAAGAAATTCCGGCGTGTAAACGACGTACGAGCGTAGGAAACCGAGAGTTCGCGCGAGCAAATAAATCTGAAATTCCGATCGAGAAGCGAAACCGTGCCACAATCGTTAACCATTTTCCCCGCTGCAGCCGGTTCGTTATCGATTCTGAAAATGTAGGGGGCAGAGACAGAGAGGGTGGGGGGGGGGGGGGGGTTT